GATTTCAGCAGAATTCAGATTAAGGGAGGGTGTTAGAATAATTAGAAATAAAACGTTGTATTGACTTGGTCAGTATGACAAAGTTTTCTAGTTGCAAGTCTTAAGTCTTAGTTGCGATTCTTTTGGGATTTATTTTAGATTTTATCTTCCTAGAATAATGGCAGATTAGTTCTCTTGTGTAAGCCTATATAAAGGCCTTTGATCAGTTGAATAAAGTATCCAAGATTTTCCACCACACTTCTTTTGTTTTACAAGTTTGTGAAATATAATTTTTTTTAGGTTATTTTAGCCAATTTCTCTTTTCAAAATTAGACAATTTCTGATGGCATGTTTAAAAATAAACAGACCAAAAATGATATTTTTGAAATTGACCTTTTTTATCTTTTTCTTGCAATGGGTATATATGATCTAATATTATCTTTATTAGATCGGTGTTTAAATGACCGATAATATCATCTTTATTAGATCGGTATTTTTTGACAAACCTATGTCTTAAATGATGGACTCTTGCACGAATTTTTGTTCTCAAATCTAACTTCCATTTTTGGTTTCGAATGAACTAACATAAACATCCATGATCGTAAGTTAACATTTGCTACGTTTGTAAATTATGTTCAAAGGAAGGAAATATGGAAAAACTAAACCCGTTTTCGATTCACAAATATTCACTTTGTGGAAAAGTTGTTGTTTTTACAGTTATCTTCTTTTTAAAGCTTTATTTTATTGAAATTGATTTAAAATAGATTACATTATTGAAGAAGTTTAACATATGCGATACAAAAAAAAACTAATGGTCCTTTCCGCATCAGAAATCAAGTGAGGACAATAATCGTTGACGACACATTAACGATACCAAGATGATCTTATTTCGAATCGAAGGTAGACGAGTAGGTGTTCCCGAATCCACAATAGCACTCAGACATCCAATATCTATTACGATAATATGACAACAATTCTCTTACTTTAGATAAATCTCTTTCTTTGATTGCCTTTGTCAATTTTGGTCCGAGTTGGCTTAAGTGAAGCCGCCGTTGAACAATTTTGAACTGCAAAACTTAAATAAAATAGATAGCCAAGATTGACTAGTACTAACAAAATATAGATCTTCTACGAAGAAAAAGAAATCTCAACCAAAAACTTCACCCATAAAACTAAACCCCATGAGAGAATCACAAACTAACCCCAATGAAGGGAATCACAAACTAGACTAAAAAAGTCAGACGGTGAATTACATCGCATCGTCTTCCAGTAAAAAAAAAAAATCTCATCGAGATCTCTTAGACTCCATATCGAACATAAAGTTATAACCATCTCCCTCTCATGAAGTCGGTAAAAGTACCAGACATCGGAGAGGGAAAAAACTCAAATCATTTTATTTTTTATTTTTTTTCTCTCTGGCGGCTAGGGTTTTCCAATTACCAAAGAATATTCTAATGGTTACGTCAACTGTTAATTGTTTTTTTTTAGTTATCTAAGTCAAAAGAAACGAACGCTATATAAATTGGAACTTGAAGTTTTATCAATGTTAGTAGTTTTGATATACTTATTAGGAGTATGTTACTATAGCCGTTTCAAGATATGTTATTATACTTCTTTGTTCATTTGTAGAAGAATCTTAAAATTGACAGGTTTGTATTGATTTGCTTTCTATATAAGAGCAAGGTTTGGAAATAAAAATGTATTTGAATTATCTTAACTTCCAAAGAGTTCGATTTGGTAAGTTAGTTGAATTTGTTTAGTTTCAATAGCGAATTACTTCAATTACTTTTACTGTAAAATTGAGAAGATATTTCTTCTTTGAAAAAAATATATTTTACTACGTGTTATTTAGTCATATATTTCAATAAAAATATTTAGACTTTAGACAAATATATTTTTCTCTTTCTTGTGATTAAATAAACATATAATTACTTGTAATAGATTCCAAGATAAAACAAACTTGGAAAAATCTAGCTAATTCTCAAAAACCATCATAAATATAATTATTTAGTACTATTCGCGATTTTATTTGTATTGATAATTGATATTTGTTTTTATTATTGTAAATGTTTTGGTATATATTCCAAACAAATATTAGAAATGACTATGATATTCAAAATGAATTTCCGCCGATTCAAAACCTAGTTTTCATAATAATTTAATTCCCTTGATTTAAACTACTAATCCAATACGTTTTTTTATGAGAAATTTCAAAAAATGCCACTTTTTCAAATTTTTTTTTTTTATATTATTTATGTTTGGGTTAATTATGTTCTATTAGGGTTTAGTTTTGAGTGTTTAGGGGGTTTTAGGTGTCAAAACATTTTTTAGGGTTTAGAATTTTAAGATATAGGTTTTATAAATCTATAATTAGTGGCATTTTTGTAAATAGACACCCCTAAGTGGCATTTTTGCAAATGTGCACACAAAAAATGACATTTTTGTAGTTGCCCCTTTTTTTTATTCTCCTCTTCTGACAACGTTTTTATACTCGAAGTTGTAGAAAATTATTTATAATCCATGTTTCTTTTTTTAAATCACTTTTATCTTCACACTAATTGTGCATAGAGCAAAAGACACAGCTACAGACAATCACAAGGTTACAAAAGAAATAACCATTACAGTTAGAGACAATTACAAAGTTATCAACAAAATAACAAATGCTTTGTTTGTGTAGAGGTTTAAGGGTTAGTTTAGGCTTCAAAGGGAAATCTTAAGCTTTTTGTAGCACTTCCTTTGCCTTGTTTACCCACACGCTATATTCAGCATCCGCGAACAAAACAAAATGCACCTTAACAAGAATGACAACAAGAGATGAATAATTCATCTCAGATGATAAAAAGTATCACTTACTTTCTACATCGAATCCATTGAAGTTATAATCTACCTCTATAAATTCATTGGCGAACTCTTTAATCGTTGATATAGCGATCACAGCAGTTTCATTAGAAGGATATCTAACAGCAAAACCAATAACATTGGGAACATAAGGTTTTACGACACTGAATCTTCC